GCTCGGGCGCTGCGTTGACACTCGCACCTCCCTCCGCGGGGCTGGGACTCGCCCCGGCTCTGACCCCACGGGAGCGAGAGCGTTTCCTTGGGGCGACACGAAGCCCCTGGAGTCGGACGCGACGTGCAAAGGCAGGGCCTTCCCCGGGGGGTTGCCATCTCAGCCTCCAGCTTCTGCAGCGGTGGGGTCTGCTCTGGTGGTACCACAACCGCCCGCTGTGAGCCACTTCTTTGCAGGGTCGCTCATAAGTCCCCTGAGACTTTAGTCCGCCCGCATTCCACTTCGTGCCTCCGGCTCCGCTGCAGGTAAGTGCCAGATTCCGTTCCGGACGTTGGCCCTGACTGAATAGCCCTCCTAAGGCTCCATTATAGGCGATGTGCGTTATGGTGCCTTATGCATATTTTAGAGGCTAAAGCCTTTCTCCTAACTAGGACTCTCGACTCCTCGGTCAGATTCTCCTGGTTGAAACGTCTAAAGGGTTTTGGCGTGGTTTCGGAGGGAGCTGCATCTAAGTGCAGTGTTTTTCCAAGCGTAGGGACCCATCACAAGATTGCGGAATCGGTTTAGTGAGCTGCTACTGCACAATTTAAAGAAATAGAATCTGTAGTACAGGACAGAGAAGACTAGAACGGCGTGCATTGCGCATAGTAAGGGTAAGCATTGTTTAAGAAACTTTTGGTTTACAGTTTATATCGTGTAATTTTTTTTTTTTTTTTTACATGATGGGTCGGCCGGCCTCGGTGGCTCATCCTGTAATCCTGGCGCTTGGGCAGGCCAAAGCGAGTGGATTGCCTGAGCCCGTGGGCTCGAGACCAGCCCGGACGACTTGGCGAGACCTTGTCTCGACAATAAACCAAAAATAGCCGGGCGTGGTAGCGCGCGCCTGTAGTTCTGGCTACTTGGAAGGCTGAGGCGGAAGGATCGCTGGAGCCCAGCAGGTCGACACTGGAGTGGCTATGAGTATGCCACTGCACTCCAGCCTGGGCGACAGAGTGAGGCTCCAATTCAAAAAAAAAAATGACGGCTCACTGTCAAAAAGGTTTTTAAAACCATAACTTACTGATTAATAGCCTAGGCTTTGAAATCAATGGAACTTGGGCTCGAACCCCAGCCCTCATATAAACCAGCTGTGTGACCTTGAAAAGGTTCTGTGACCTCGAACAGGTTCTGTGACCTCTCATAGCCTCCATGTCTGTAGCTGTAAAATGGACAATGTTTCCTACATCTGAGGGGTATGATGAAGATGGCATTAGGCCACATATGTCAACCACTGTGTGCAGTAACTTGACTTATAGTAGGTGTTCAATATATGTTAATTGCAATTACTGTTGTTGAAATATCAAGTCTTGGTGACTAGTCATGGGACACTGTGCTTTTCTTTTCTCTCTTTTTAGATCTTGATGTGGAGGAGATGGAGGATTCAGAACCAAGGATTTCCAAGTGATTTCTTCCAGAGCGCAGGAAACTAACTCGGTTAAGGCTGGTCTGTTCTAACTGAGGTAACTACATTTGCATCTCTCTTTAGTTTCCATGAAATAGGAAATTTTTTTTGAGGGACTTCCAAAGGGCATATGATTCATGACGCGCAATCCATCAGGTTTGGGGATTACAAAGTGACTAGGACACTCAAATGATCTTTTTTTTTTTGAGTCAGAGTCTCATTCTGTCACCCAGGCTGGAGCGCAGCAGCATGCTCACGGCCACCGCAGCCTCGACCTGCTGGGCTCCAGCGATCCTTCTGCCTCAGCCTTCCAAGTAGCTGGAATTACAGGCATGTGCCACTATGACCAACTGACTTTTAGATTTATTGTAGAGACGAGGTCGCATCGTGTTGCTCAGACTGGTCTTGAACCCTTGAGCTCAGATAATTCTCTCACCTCCGCCTCCCAAAGTGCTGAGATTACAAGCGTGAGCAAGCCACTGTGCCTGGCTAGGTGATCTTTTCTGAGGAGACAAGATGCATGAGGCTCCTGTGACGAAGGGCCACTGGGTGAACAGGGCTTTAGGACAACTGGTTTCATTGTTCCGGTTCTGTCAGCAACTGTCTGGGAGCTTCTGTATGTCTCTTCCTAGATCTCTAGCTTCTCTGGGCTAGAACGACCCACCAGCACCACTGGGGCCCAGAGAGTTTAAATGACTCTTTAGGGTTACCCAGTGAGTGGTGGTTGAGACACGGCTGGGACCTGGATCTTCATTGCTCAGTCACATGACCTGCTGCGCAGTGAATCCCATGCTAGGCATGAAGATCCCACCCCTGGGACACTCAGTGGTTCTCACAGACAAGTGCAGATAGCCTGGCACCCCAAGCTCTTCCTTGGAGGCATATGCAAAGTCCCAGATGGTGACAGTAACAGCCACCATTTATCAAGTGTTTGTGTGCATGTGAATGCCAGGCAGTGAGTTAAGCGCTTTAAGCATGGTATTTTTATTTACTCCTCGCAATACTTCATGAGGTGAGGAAAAACTGGTGTGACGGATTGAAATATGAAAACAGAGACAGGTCATGGAGGGTTTTGGCCCTCAGAGTGTGCATATGGTGTACTTTCTATGTGCAAAGCTCTGTGCTAGCACCGTGGGGTAACCTTGAGCCTGCAGCCTGACTGCAAAGAGGCGAGTCAGGTGGACCGTGTCTGCTATCACCTCCTCCCCTGTCCTGACTTCTCCCACAGGCAATCAGATGGGGTCTCTCCTGGGGACAGAGCTGAGAAACGGATGTATCGAACTTCTTCCCTCTCAATTCAGTTGTTCATTCTTTTCCATTTTAACATATATTTCTACCCATCTGTTAAAACTTATACAGTGACTGAACCTGTAATCCCAACACTTGGGAGGCCGAGGCAAGTGGATTACCTGAGCCCGCGGGTTCGAGACCAGCCCTGGCAACTTGGCAAGACATCGTCTCTACAATAAATTTTTTTTTTTTTAAATTAGATGGACGTGGGAACTTGCACCTGTAGTTCTGGCTGCTTGGAAGGCTGAGATGGAAGGATTGTGAGAGCTCAGCAGGTGAACGATGGGGTGGCTGTGAGTGTGTCACTGCACTCCAGCCTGGGCGACAGAGTGAGACTCCCACTAAAATTAATTAATTAATTAATTTAAAATAAAGCTTATGCTTTCAGTTTATAAACAATAGTAAGGCCTAAGGCCAGGTGTGGTGGCTCAAGCCTGTAATCCCAGTACTTTGGGAGGCTGAGGCGAGAGGATTGCCTAAGTCCAAGGGTTCGAGACCAGCCTGGGCAGCTTGGTGAAACTTCATCTCTACAATAAATCAAAAAAATTAGCCAGACGTGGTGACATGTGCCTGTCATTCCAGCTACTTGGAAGGCTGAGGTGGAAGGATCGCCTGAGCCCAACAGGTCAAGGCTGTGGTGGCTATGAGCGTGCCACTGCGCTCCAGCCTGGGCAGAGTGAGACTCCGATTAAAAAAAAAAATAGGCCTTCTCTGGAGTCATTCATTTATTTTTCTTCAACAGTGTTTATTGAGCTCCTACAAGGCACTCAGGAACTCAAGACCAAACTGATTATTTTTATTATTATCAAGATATTAAGTCATGTCCGGTCTCTTAACAAAGAGTTAATTGTTCAACTGTTAGCAATTTTCTGTTATCAATATATTGGGATGTCAGCTCCAGGAATGTCAGAGATTGACCTGTATGTAAGATTCCAAGTGGAGTTAGAGGAAAGTCATTTTAAAAGTCTTAACATCTTCAGAAAGGAGTTTCTCACTCTCTTTTAAACTTGAGTTTTTGCCATTATTGTCACCTGCTTATGGAGGCTTTTTATTTGCACACTTAACCGGCTGTCAGAGAAAAAGCAGTTTGATAATGGGGCTTTTCTTTTCTTTCTTTCTTTTTTTTTTTTTGAGTTGGAATCTTACTCCGTCACCCAGGCTGGAGTACAGTGGCACGCTCATGGCCACCTCAGCGTCAATCTGCTGGGCTCCCATGATCCTTCCACCTCAGCCTTCCAAGTAGTCAGAACTACAGGCATGTGCTAGCCCGCCTGGCTAATTTTTGATTTATTGTAGAGACGAGGTCATACCAAGTTGCTGGGGCTAGTTTCGAACCCATGGACTCATGCAGTCCTCTTGCCTTGGCTTCCCAAAGTGCCGGGATTACTGGCTGAGCCATCGAGCCCAGCCTGTAAGGGGGCTTTATTATTATTATTATTAATTTATTTTTTATGTTTTTAACATGAAATGCCCTCCTCTTTTAGCTTTTTAGGCCACAGAGGCCTGTGGGTGTTCAAAAGTGAAGCAATTTAAGAAATAATTTTGTTTAATTTATAAGATGGAAAGTTAGAGATAGCTCCGAGAATTGGATTAAGCAACAGAAATCAGATTTCAAGACTTGAATGCTACTTGTAATAACTTAATCCCCAAGTAAAACAAATGAGATGTTGAATGTGAACATGCTTTGTAAACTGTAAAGCATTCTATAAATCTTATATAGCAAATGTGTATTGAGTGCCTACTACGAGTATGACCCTATGCGAGACAGAATCAGGAACAAAGCAGCAACAAAATTTGGTCCCTTCCCTCTTAAGACCCTGTTATACAGTTGAGGAAATAAAATATACAGAAATAACCATGTCATAAGAGCAGAAAGAAGATGCGTTGGTAATGTGAGGGGAAAGAGGTCTCTAGGGTTCAAGAGACTTTCTTGAGAAAAAGCATTTAGGCAAGTCCTTGACTCATGGGGCGTTTCAGTCAGAGATGGGGAGAAGGGATTTGAGATGGCAGAAATGATGGAAGATGGAGAGCGCATGGACCATGTTCAAGAACAAGTGTTAAACCCAGTTGAGTTAGAGCTGGTCTATACAGACACCAAGTGGGAAGTGAAACTGGCCAACATTGGTGCCAAGTGATAATGGTCTTGAGTGCCAACTAGCATACTTGAATGCGTTAATCAATGGATGGCATTAAAGATATCGAACGGAGAGTATCATGGTGGTGCTTTAGAATCATGCTTTTGTGAGTAACTTAGGGGAGATTGGGAGGAAAGGCAGAGCAGAAACTAGAGGCAGGGAGGTCAGTTAGAAGGCTTCTATGATCCCCCAAGGAAAAGGGGGGAGAAAGGCCTGAAATGGATGATAACAGAGAAATAGGAAAGGAGCAGATGCCAAGAGGGGAACAGAGCCCGATGCTTCGGTGGAGAAGGAACAGCTTAAGCTGACCCTGAACTTTCTGGAGCAGTGGTACCCATGGAGGAAACTCGGAAGGAGGTGCCTTAGAAAGGTGCTGAGTTTGGAGTGCTGAAGCATGCCATATTCTAGACAGATGGGGGCTTTGAGCTCCATGGGAAGGCCAGGGCTGGCTTGGTATGTAAGAAAAAGTCAAGAGGTGGGAGAAGCGATTTTTCAGAAAGAGAATATAGGAAGAAAAAGGTTGAAAATGGAGCCTTTTGAGAAAAGAAAGGAAAACCTAGGGAGGCAGAGAGAAGTGTGGCAAGATAACAAGGGAGAACCACAGAGGAACATGCTCCAGAAACCAGCAGACAGGTTTTCCCTGTGGAGGGAGCCAGGCATGTCAGACACTGGAAGGGAAGGAAAAGCCTAGAAAGACCATTGGATTGACAAGCGCTAGATGACCCCTTAGTATTTTTCTTCGTAAGGTAATATGACTTGCAGGATGAATATTAAGTGGTTTCATTTACATACATTTGTAGCTTACACAAATCAAGAATCACTGTTAGCCAGGCATAGTGTCTCATGTCTGTAATCCTAGCACTTTGGGAGGATTGCTTTAGCCCAGGAGTTCAAGACCAGCCTAGGCAACCTAGCGAGACTTCATCTGTACAAAAAAAAAAATTAGCTGGGTGTGGTGGCAAGCACCTGTAGTCCCAGCTATGTGGGAGACTGAGGAGGGAGTGTTCCTGACACTGCACTCCTGCCTGGGCACCAGAGCGAGAACCTGATTCATAAATAAATAAATAAAATAAAAACTACATTTCAGAGGCCAGACACAGTGGCTCTTGCCTATAATCCCAGCACTTTGGGAGGCCGAGGCAGAAGGATCGGGAGTTCAAGTCCAACCTGGACAACATAGTGAGACCTCATCTCTGCAAATAAAACAAAACATTAGTTAGGCGTGGTGGCGCATGCAGAAGGATTGCCTCTTCGATCTAGGATGTTGGGGCTGCGGTGAGCCTTGATCGCACCACTGCACTCCAGCCTGGGCAACAGATTGAGACTCTGACTCAAAAAAAAAAAAAAAAAGGTAACTCTCTTTCAGGTCCCCTCCTGCTGCGGGAGGTTTTCAATCTTCTTAATAAACTCCTACGTTGAAAAATAAAAGTTTCTGTGAATACAGAATGTTTCTAAGAGTAACTTAATTCCATTGCCCTTTACCATATGGCTGTTGTATGACATGTGTGTCTGCGTGTTTTCACGTGCATATGAGCTTAGTGCAATGGAATGAGAAGACTGGGGTCAGATAAATCTAGTTTCACAACCTAACTGGGCCCTTTTCCAGTCTTGTGACTTTAGAAAAGTTACTGTC